GGGTCGTCTTATATTCGGGCCAATACGGTATATATATATATATTATCCAATTACAGCTTAATTAGACTGAAGGCAGCAAAATATGTCAACTGTCCAGTTTTTCCCTTTTTAAATAAAAAGCAAAATTCTGTCACCTGACAAAATCTGGAGATCTGGAGATGACATGCTGAAATTCAGAGAGATTGACTGTCCCGTCCTTATCAATGTCTGACTCCTCGAGGATCTGTACAGTGACGTTTGTTTACATTAGTGAAGTTCATCTGACAGATGTCTGTCATTAATGTGATGTACATCCAACCACACTCACATTGCTTATGAGCTGTCTCATCTCCTCTGCAGTCAGACGGGTGTCGTCCGTCTCACCGGTCAGACAGTTCACCAGCTTCTCCAGGTCTCTAGCATCAAGGGTCCCGTCATCATCAAAGTCTGCAGCATAAGAACTGTTTATATTGAGTGGTGTTTGCTACTGCTATCGTGTTAGATGTCAATATTGAGAGCAATCCATCTATTACCAAAGATTCGGAAAGCGTAGTGGGACTTGATTTCCAGAGTCGCCGAATCACTGAAGGCACTCAAGAGGTCCAGAAAATCCTCAAAGCTCAAGCTGCCATCCTTCATGTCAGAGGTCGAGAAGACGTGACATAGCCTTTTCTGGAAGGGGTTAGACTGTGACAGCCAACAAAAACACAGAATATATACAGCCGAATGGGTAAATCTGGAAGGATTATAAGATGTTATATTGCATTGTGACTGCAGTACAGACTTTATGTGTTACCTTCAGTTCAGGAAGTGTGAGGATCTTCTCCATGGACACCCTGGAGCTGTACGGTCCACTTTCTCTGCCCTGGAGTTCAGAGAATATTTTGTGTGCCCTAAACAAACACATTGATGATGAGCCCCAAAAGTCTATAATGCAGTGACATTCAAACATTTTAAGTATTAGTTAGAATACACTTTCAGTAACTAAACTACTGTACATTTGTGTAGTTTAGCTATTGTCACAACAACAAATCCACTTCACAGGGAATGCCAAGGCAAAATGTGCCATGGTAGAGAAGATGTACATGTGAAAAGGCAGTAATAAAAATAATAT